GACTGTCATTTAAGCAGTATATACGAGCAAGAGGAACCGCTTGGTATAAAATTGTTTGTACTCTGTGATTGTGACAGGGCCTGGTGTTGGTATTTTTTATACAGTAGTAAAACATTGAAAGATACAAGATTTATTGGGTAACAGTACTATAGAAACATGATGGCACCTTATTTGGTAAGGGGAACATTATTTTACCGAAACGGTACACAAACCCATTACCAGTGAATTTTATGCGAGTAACAAGACAATGGTTGGCACAGTGCTTCTAATCGTAAAAAAATGCCCAGGGTCAAGCAGGGGTTCGTGGGGATGAGTGCAGGTGTTTACTGTCAAAAACTATGGCTTTTTGGGTGGCATGACAAACGAGATTCAATTGTTACAACCATTTACCAAAAAGAAAAGCAAGACAGTGGCAAAGTTGACGAGTGACTAATGAACGTATTCGAAAACCGTGACAGTGATTGATAACAAAAACATCGCTTGGGTTGACAATGTGCATGCAATTGGTTTTTTTTGCTGTGTTGTAAGAGTTAAAGTGGTCATGAAACTTTTTTTTCCATCTCATGGACATTTTAATGCTGAATGATATAATATGTCCAAATAAAGCTGGTAACAGACCACCCGTAGGTGAAATTTTTTTTGTCTATTGTCAGCAACTCTAAGAAGTCCCGGGACCCAACAACACCTGCAAAACAACATGGTCCTCAAATTCATCACAAATACCCAAGGCTTTGAGGAGAGAAGGTGATCATTTTATAATACAGCTTCCTTCAATCAAAAAAATTTGCTCAGAAAGATCATTGTTGTGCACAAACAAAACGACGGGAACAAAAACCAAAGACCTCGGTTTATGTGTGAGAAATGTAAGGTGCCTCGTGATGGTGCTTGTTTCAAGGTTTCCCCAAGCTCCAGCAGTTTAAAACCATGTCCAGTGATTGTAAATATGTAAATATATGATAGAACATTTTATTAACAAAATTTGTGTGTTTTTTTGAAAAACAACAGTGGAAACAAAAATTAAAAACTTTAAATGGGGATTGTTCAAAAATATAATTAACAATTAAACAGTATTTTCCCCACCCCCCCCCCAAAAGTTGTAGGAAAAAAAAAAAGAAAAAAAAACAAAAAAACCCCCCAAAAAAAAAAAACCATTTTTCCTTTCCCCCCCCTCTTTTTTCCCCCCCCCCAATAACAACAAAACCCCCAAAAACCTTTTTTTAAAAAAAAATTTTTTTTTTTCAAAATTTCGGGACCCACTTCAGATTTTGGCCGGCCCCCCCCAAATTAAAACTCTCAAACCCCCAAACCCGCTGGGTTTTTTTCACCAAATGAGACTAATTTTAGTTTTTTCCCTTTTTCACCCCGGGGTTGTCACTGGTGTGGGGTTCAAATTTGGCAAAAATTGGACCCCAAGGAAAAATTTTAACCCTCTTTCGATACACTGACTTTTTTTTTGTTACCTGGGGGGAAATTGGGGGTTTAAATTGTTTTTTTTTTTTTCCAAAAAAAAGACACCAACAACGGCTGGGGCAACCGAATTTTTTTACAAAAGCACAAAAGGCTACAGCACAGCAGACGGTACTAAAAAGCAGGCAGCAGACAGCTGACGGTGGACAACAGCACAGCAGCGACAGTGCTACGCGCAGCAGACAGCTACAGCAAGCAGCGGTACTACAGCAGCAGCACACGATGGTGGAAAGCAGCGCAGCAGCTGACTGCTCCACAGCAGCGCTGACAGTGTACAGCAGCAGCAGACGATGCTACAGCGCAGCAGACGGTACTAAAGCAGCAGCAGCAGCTGACGGTGGTACAGCAGCAGCAGCAGCTGTACCACCAATAGTAGCGATGGTTGATTGGGGTTTATTATACAACCTGGCCAGCTCGGAGACACGCACTCCACTTTCATACTTATCAATGATCTTTTTCTTCATCTCTATAGTAATTCTCACCCTTATTGCTGTAGGGTTGGCACTAGAAGCTTTCTTGGGGCCCATGGTCACTTATTTTGCAGATAAAATCACCAAAAACACTGTAATAATACGAAATGTTCTGATTGTATGCTTGGATGTTACCGCGGAGGCTGGCTGGTAAACAATGCCATCGGCGGAACATGTGAGCGTGGCTCAGGCCGCACATAGACGTGTCTCAGACGAACAGCGTTGAGCGGGTTTTTTAGCGGTATGCGAGGCAAAATCTTGGCGATAAAATGTAGCGGTATGCGGATTTAACGTTATGTAAGGCCAACGGTATGCGGGGGTCCACTGTAAATGCTACCTTCCTGACAACATTTTTTTTTTCAACAAACTGGCTGTATCCCACCAAGGCAGACTTAAAATGAGAAACTTTCATTTTTCTTTTAAAGTTTAGTAATGTATACAGAAGAGGTTACTAGCCCCTTGCTCCTGGCATTTTAGTCACCTCTTATGACACATAGTGTTACGACTGGAGTTTACCTGGAGAGAGTTCCGGGGGTCAACGCCCCCGCGGCGCGGTCTGTGACCAGGCCTCCTGGTGGATCAGAGCCTGATCAACCAGGCTGTTGCTGCTGGCTGCACGCAAACCAACGTATGAGCCACAGCCCGGCTGATCAGGAACTGACTTTAGGTGCTTGTCCAGTGCCAGCTTGAAGACTGCGTAACATAAATAAAAATCCTGGCTCCTAAGGGTAATTATAAAAAAAGAAGCACTAAACCTTTACAAGGGTCATACAGCACTGTCAGGCAGGGAAGGATGCAGGCGTATTGGGAAGCAAGATGGAGAGGGATGATTATTAGGTCATGGAGTGCAGTGGATAGTGCAGGGGTAGAGGGTAGCAAGAGATTGAGGTAGAAAGGGCTGTGAGGAATACTAGAGGCATCATCATCATCAAAGTTTGTGCAGTCAATCATTTGCTATCAAAAAGTCATTGAGAGAGTTTGGGTTCAAGGAGGGTCCATCAGCAAGAAGGGAAGGTAAGTAAGGGCAGTGACAACGTTAGAGGTAAATTCTATGTGCTCGTTGATAGAGTGGGCAGTCCAACAGAATGTGGCTAACAGAAACTGGAACCTGACAATTCTCACAGAGTGGAACAGGGCACCTCTCCATCAGATACCCGTGAGGCCGATGCGAAGACAGGAGAGAGTAGTCTCCCAGCCTCAACACTGATAAGATGATGGCCAAAAACCTATGCAGTAGGGCCCCGCTTTACAGCCATTTCAAGTTATGACCAAAACTCTCTATACGGCTCCCCCACCTGACTTTCTAATGTGGTCACTGCACCCCACCCGGTTTGTTTACATTCTCTGTGAGCACTATGTCTCTACATTGTGTCTGGAAACTCCAAAATTTCAAGTGTTTTTAAAGTTATTTCACATACAGGGGTCCCTCGTTTTTCGTAATTAATCCGTTCCTGGAGGTGCTACTATTATCGAAATCTACGATTTTCGAATCAATTTTCCCCATAAGAAATAATGTAAATACAATTAATCCGTTCCTGACACCCAGAAGTATCAACAACAATTTTTTTTACCTTAAAGATAGATTTACATGCACAAAAGAATGAACATTCAACATGACAGTTACCTTTATTGAAGGCTGTTGTTGATGAATGGAAGACAGGGAGGAGGAGAGAGGGAAGAGAGGTTATTGTTTTGGAAGGGGAATCCCCCTCCATAAGGAGGATAGGTTGGATAAATACATGAGTGAGAGGGGTTGGATTTGAGTGGGACTTGCATATCAGAGCTTATTTCTTGGGTAGCATTGAAAATTGGGTTGGGCAAATGTTTTGTTAGTGGGATGAATTGTGTGAACTCCAGGAGCCAGTTTCTGGACCAGGCCTGCAGCCTGTCCAGATCCCTTTTTAGGTCTGCCTGGTCCTTGTCTGATTGAATTCTTCTCATCGTCTTCACATCATCTGCAAACAGGGGCACTTCTGAATCTATTCCTTCTGTCATGTCGGTCACATATACCAGAAACAGCACCGGTCCTAGGACTGACCCCTGTGGAACCCTGTTTGTCACAGGTGCCCACTCTGACACCTCGTCACATACCATGGCTTCTTGTTGTCTTCCCGACAGATATTCCCTGATTCACTGCAGTGCCTCCCCTGTTATCCCTGCCTGGACCTTCAGCTTTTGCACTAATCTCGTGTGGAACTGTGTCAAATGCCTTCTTACAGTCCAAGAAAACTCAATCTATCCATCTCTCTCTCTCTCTTGTCTTGCTGTCACCATCATAGAACTCCAGTAGGTTTGTGACACAGGATTTCCCATCCCTGAAACCGTGCTGGTTGTCGTAGATAAGCTCATTCCTTTCTCGGTGCTCCACCACTCTTCTCTTAAAAACTCATATCTCAGGTAGTTGCCCTGTTTCAAGCTACTTTTAGTCAGTAAATCATCCAAAATCACCTCTATTTCTATCAAATGAGACCAAGAAAACAAAAATACAACCATTAATACTATACAAAAATACACTGCAAAGTTTCTGTTTTAAATAACAAAAAAAGGCACAATACCGTGACTGGAACAACACACAAATAACCCGCACATAGGAGAGAGAAGCTTACGACGATGTTTCGGTCCGTCTTAGACCATTCACACTAACAAAAAAGTGACTTTGCAAATGGTCCAAGTCAGACCGAAATGTCATCGTAAGCTCCTCTCTCCTATGTGTGGGTTATTTGTGTATTGCTGTTTTAAACCAAAAACACAGTCACTGGCCTTAAAGCCGTAATATTACGGAACCGACACTGAAGGGGTTCAGTCTATGTGAGGACTACCAATACTTACATATCCTTTGCTGCCCTCTATTTAAATGATTAGTTAAAACGAGAGGAAACTAGACATAATGTCAGTACAGTATTACTATATTTTGAGCATCAATTTGGGTGCTAAACTCATATTTTATAAGAAATAAATTCATATGTGAGGCTGAACTGGGCTGCCATTGTCAGCAATATTTACACTTGCTCCTCCTTCCCTTTCTCTTATTATTTCTATTATTATTGAAAATGAGGACAATGATATTTAAGATTTTTTATTTAAATAAAATTATTAACATGATATAGTTTATATTTACAAAACACACTGGTGGTCAATCTTACAGCAGTAAGATCGACTCCAAGTCCCCTGGGACTCTCACGACCCTTCAACTCAGCATTGACATGGCGGTTACGTTAGCATAAATACTATATTTTGCTTTGATATTTTTTCCATATTCCGTTGGGTGGGTTACACTCATAAAACAAGGGGCATTATTTTGGGCATGTTTATTTAGTAAAAAAAAATTTGCCTTATGACCAATAACATATGGATTTTGTTGTCCTGCAAGTACTGTATATACCTCAAGTGGGACAGTAACAAGCATGTCAGTGTCTAGTTATGGCATAATATATGCAACTATGGTTCCTTTTCAGATGACTAATCTCTGCATTATTGTGTAGTTTGCATGTTATGTTCTTGTGACACACTGGTCACATTTCTTGGCTTAACATTAATTTCCTCACTCACATTATTTTCGGCCTTAACAAGCACTTGTTGCTTGAGTCAACAATTATATGGTGTGACAATGTTATTATTCTCTCACATTATTATGCACCTCACCAAGCACCAGAATGTAGAGTTATAATATTATAGGCATTAATGTTGATATTATTTCATACACAAATAATAATATCACTAGGTAGAGGTGGAAAAGTAAACATTAATGAAGTATAATGCAGATCACATTATACTATATCTGTGTCTAGTTTTCCATTATGTTGGTATTTTATACCATTTATCTCCACTGGGTAGAGGTGCCATTGTATTCTTGTATCCATATAAACATATATATACTAGCTCACTTCTGCTGGCTTAAGGGCATGCCATCCTGAAGCTGTGGTGAACCTGACATCTGGATCTGTAGCTCCAATAGATTCAATGACTAAATCCACAGCTCCTGTAGGGCTGATGGCTGGATCCACAGCTCAATTAGGGTTAATGGCTGAACTCTGGATGGAGGTTTTACAGTCACGATAAAAAGTAGGTAAAATAAATACTGAAAATAAAAAATGAAAATGTAAACTGAATCTTCCTGAATCTCAAGTCAGTACATGAGAATCTCCAAAATATGACAGCTTGTAAATAAACTGTTGCAGTGTAAGTAAATGTTTGGTTTCAAAATTGAACTTGTTACTCTCTTAAAAATTTTACATGCAGTAAGTACACTTAGATTAATAAGCTAAACAGAAAATGACAGACCTCATCTTTCATATACAAAATGGATTCCTTTCTGAAATTCTTTTTAAAGCAAGCACAAAGATAAAATTACAATATGTAACAACAACACCTAAAGTGGAAGCCTATCCTGGACAACAGATAATATGCACTTTGAGAGGTATATAGAGTAAAAATAAAATTTAACCCTTATCCCCTCCAAAATAATAATAATGCTCAATACCTAAAAAATACAGATCAAAGTTGTATATTGATGTCTTGCCAGACATCACTAGGTCACTTTTTCGTACAAGATCATGTAGGCGTTAGCCTTCCGCACCTCTTCTAAGCTAGCTTCTCGTACTAGCAAATCAGAGGTGTAAAACCATCTGCAAGAAAAACAAAACAATATTAGATCAAATTAATAAATGGTATGAGATTTACTATTATAGTCGTCTCTACAAATTTTGTGGTTAATAAACAGCATAGTTGTATTTGCAGTTCCTAAGTTTTCTGAGACTGAAGAACCAAGCCTTCCCTCCCTTCTTACGTTAAACCTGATCACCTCTAATTCTGCAAGTGCTATGTGACACTTAAGGGTTTAGCTCTTCTTTAGGAATATAATTACAGTGGACCCTCGTTTTTCGTAATTAATCTGTTCCAGGAAGTGTGACTATTTTCGAAATTGACGATTTTCGAAACCATTTTCCCCATAAGAAATAATGTAAATGCAATTAATTTGTTTCATACACCCAGAAGTATTAACCCTATGACTGTTTCGGTCGTATATATACGTCTTACAAGGTACCGTGTTTGATATATATATACTACTCATAAATTCTAGCGGCTTCAAATCAAGCAGGAGAAAGCTGGTAGGCCCACATGTGAGAGAATGGGTCTGTGTGGTCAGTGTGCACCATATAAAAAAAATCCTGGAGCACGCAGTGTATAATGAGAAAAAAAAACTCTGACTGTTTTTTTTAATTAAAATGCAGACTTTGTGGTCTATTTTCGTATAGTATTTATAGTTGCATTATCGTTTTCTTGGTCTCATTTGATAGAATGGAAAACATATTATAGAAATAGTGGTGATTTTGATTAGTTTTACTATAAAAAGAACCTGGAAATGGTGCTCAAAGTAGGGGAAATGTTTGATTTTTGCCGATGTTCAAAAGTCACCAAATGATGTCATTGTCAAATAAATATCCAACTAGCCATTCTAATATGCAGTCATGAATGAGTTGATGTTATTTATACAATTATTACAGTATTGCAGTAGTCTGCATAATAGTAAGTCTTCTATTTTTTGTTTGAATAAAAATTCAAAATAGAAAGCAAGAGTAATATCAGAGGGCCCTGAAGATGTGACTGATGAACAAAAAAATGTTATTTTAGAGCCAGGAATGTCTGCATTGTTCATTCTGGACCTTATTTTGAAATTGTCATATTTTTTAATTTTCATGAAACTGGCCAAATTGCAAATTTCTGACCACGCTATTGGGTAGTTGATATCGGTAAACAGGCAGTTTCTTGTACTCAATCGATAGAAAAAACAGAGTTCTAAAGAAATAGCTATGAGTTTGGTTAACTGGAACAATGGAATTAGCCAAAAATAGGTCTCAAAGTGGGCAAAATTGCCGATTTGTAAATACATACCTACATTATAACTGATAATTATACATATGTGTACCTGTACCTAAGTATGCCTTCACTCAGGGCATTATTTCTTCTACAAAATGGTGTTACATGAGAATGGGAGTTTCTCTCTTTATTTATTCTACTGAATCAACGTGGAGACAACTTGTACACAATGTAAAGTGACGAAAACTAGACGAATTCGCCTGGTTTGTATACATTACGTGTGGGTGGGGTGGGGTGGGCTTCCCTGGCTGGACACCATAATTCCCAAATCTGACTTCCTACAAATAAAATTCACCTCTCACCCTACATTAAGACTATAAATATTTTAAGGTAAGTAATGGGTGTACTGTGTGTATATTTTACTTTTTATTGTTTTTAATGCCTAGTTCTATTGCTAACATAATATATGTTAGTGTAAACTTTTTAACTGGCATTTATATGCATTTATAAGTGGGAAAAAATTGGCATTCTGCTTTCTGGCAGTAGCCTGGAACCTAACCTGCAGTATAAGTGGGGCCCTACTGTATACAGTGGACCCTCGACCAACGATATTAATCCGTTCCTGAGAGCTCATCGTTAATCGAAATTATCGTTAGCCGAGTTAATTTTCCCCATAAGAAATAATAGAAATCAAATTAATCCATGCAAGACACCCAAAAGTATTGAAAAAAAAATTTTTTTTACCACATGAAATATTAATTTTAATACACACAAACTGAAGAAGACATGTATAATTACATGACACTTACCTTTATTGAAGATCTGGTGATGATTGATGGGATGGGAGGAGGGGAGACCATGGATGGTGTTAGTGTTTAGAAGGGCAATCCCCTTCCATTAGGACTTGAGGTGTCAAGTCCTTTTCTGGGGTTGTTGGAGGAGGACAATGAAGAACTAACAACTGATGAGCTGCTAGATCATCTTCAACAGTAAGAGGCCACACCTGAGGAAACTGCTCCGGAGGAGGGGATAGAGAAATTGAAGAAGTTGCCTACTTCAAAGATTAAGGAAATGTGTGCAATGTGGCTTAAAGTGCAAACCATTTTTGATGAAAATCACCCTCACACAGCTATTGCAAGCCGTGCTGGTGACTATTACACTGACAGTGTTGTGAACCACTTTAGGAAAGTCATAAAGGAACGAGAGGTACAGGCCTCTATGAACAGATATGTTGTGTGACAGAGGTCCAGTGACTCTCAACCTGGTCCTAGTGGCATTAAAAGAAGAAGGGAAATAACCCTGGAAAAGGACTTGACACCTCAAGTCTAATGGAAGGGGATTCCCCTGCTAAACACTAAGACCATCAACACACTCCCCTCCTCCCATCCCATCAATCATCACCAGATCTTCAATAAAGGTAAGTGTCATGTAACTGTGCATGTCTTCTTCAGTTTGTGTGTATTAAAATTAATATTTCATGTGGTAAAATTTTTTTTTTTCATACTTTTGGGTGTCTTGCACGGATTAATTTGATTTCCGTTATTTCTTATGGGGAAAATTAATTCGCATAACGATAATTTCGCATAACATTGAGCTCTCAGGAACGGATTAATAGCACTATGCGAGGGTCCACTCTATAGACATTTTGCTTAATCCATCTATGATTTTTTTTTCAAAATTATATAATAAACATGCTGCATAACATATAAATTAACAAATATGAGATGTTTTTCTGGTCGGCTTGACAGTGAACAGGAATCATTCGTGTCAGGGCTGGTAACAACAACAACAACAACGTTTGTTTACATAACTCGTCAACATTCTACATTCTCATTCTCTCATTTATTCATTTAATCTTGTTTACTCACCTCTCACTCTACATTAACCCTTTCAGGGTCCGTCCCGTAGATCTACGGCTTTACGTTCAGGGTCCAAACCGCAGATCTACGCCATGAGCTCAGCTCACTCTGATAAACTGTGAGTGGTACATTTGGGCCTAGATATGAGAGAATACATCTATGTGGTATGTGTGCACCACATAAAACAGATCCTGCAGCACACTGTGTATAATGAGAGAAAAAAAATGAAATCATGATTTTTCGATTAAAACAGCAACTTTGCAGTGTTTTTTCGTATGTTTTTTATAGTTGCATTTGCGATTTCTTGGTCTCATTTGATAGAATGGAAGACATATTACAGAAATAGAGATGATTTTGATTGGTTTTAGCACTGGAAATGGCTTGAAACTGAGCTCAAAGTAGCAGAAATGTTAAATTTTTGCCGATATTCAAGAGTAAACAAACGACCTCACACGTCTAATACACATCAGCTGGTGGGTCTAATATACATTCACAAATATGGTGATGATATTTATACAATTATTACAGTATTGCATAACAGTAAATCTTCTATTTTTTGGTGTGAATAAAAATTCATTATGTGAATAAAAAATCAAAATGGAATTTATTTGTAAAGCCTCAAAACATAACTAATGAACAGAGGAAATGTTAGTTTAGTGCCAGGAATGCCTACATTGTTCATTCTGGACCCTATTTTGAAATTGGGAAAATATTTGAACTTTGTGTTAAATTGGCCAAATTAACAATTTCCGATCACTTTATTTTGTAGTTGAAACAGTTGACTTGGCGATTTCTTGTGCTCAATCGATAGAATAGAAGTAATACTAGTGAAATAGCTAAGAATTTGGTTGACTGGAATAATGTAATTGGCCTAAAATGGGAGTCAAAGTCGGCAAAATCGCCGATTCGTAAATATCGCTGACACATCAAAATTCGTGAGAGCATAATTTCGTCAATTTTCCACCAAATTTTGTACTTTTTGTTTTATTACCTTCACAAAAAGATTCTCTACGATTTCATAAGAAAAAATAACAAATTTTTTTTTTTAAAATTCTTGGACACTGGTGCGTGACTCCAGATTTGGGCCTTGGACCCTGAAAGGGTTAAAATTACAGATATTTTAAGGTAAGTAATGAGTTTACACGATTATTATATTGTAGCTTAATAATAATAATAATATTAGTACATATGTATTATTGTAATAATAACGATTGTTAATATTATTATTAATTTAGGGCACTGGAGCACAGATCCACGGTATAGCACTTTGTCTGGATTTTTTGGGTTATCCTAGGTAATTTATAATATGTATGATAACTTGACTTACGTCTACAAGTGAGAGAGAGAGAGAGAGAGAGAGACAGCCACATTCAGTCAGCCAGTCAGCCAACTACCCACCCACCCAGCCACCCACCCATCATCCAGCCAACCACCCACCCACCCATCAAGCCACCCACCCATCCATCCAGCCACCCATCCAGCCACCCACCCATCCAGCCACCCACCCGGCCAACCACAGACCCGGCCACCCAGCCAGCCAGCCGGATACGTATTACACACGTTCCAGAGTTGTTTCTCTTTACTTAGGGTATAGGTTACACAACATTCTGGCAGGATGACACTACCAGTGGTATTCACCCACTCCACAGGTAACATATGATACTGTATGCGATGTAAAATTTACAATACATATCACTACCATGTATACATTATATACAGTACATAAATAATTAAAATACAACAATAGAAGTAAATTATGGTAAAAAAAATGAAATAATGATTGTACATTACATTACAGTATTATGTAGGCAGTTTATATAGGAAAGTTTTGACATTATGCCCTACCCAATATGTCGGCAATTTTCAAAGGTTCGACTTGCGTCCATTTCGACTTACGACCGGTTGGTCGGAACCAAGCTTGGTCATAAGTCGGATGGTAGGTGTATTCCTTTAGCACG